TTTTTGGAGCAGAGTTTCACTCTTATTGCCCAGGCTGAAGTGCAATGGTGCAATCTTGGCTCACAACCTCTGCCTCCCAGGTTCGAGTGATTCTCCTGTCTCAGCATCCAGAGTAGCTGGGATTACTGGCATGCACCACCACGCCTGGCTAATTTTGTATTTTTAGTAGAGACAGGGTTTCTCCACATTGGTCAGGCTGGTCTCAAATTCCCAACCTCAGGTGACCTGCCCACCTTGGCCTCCCAAAATGCTGGGATACAGGCGTGAGCCACTGCGGCCGGCCCACCTGTCTGATTTTTGTAATTTGGAGGGACAGGGTTTCCCTAAGCTGCTCAGGCTCTGAATTCTTAAAAGCTACTTCTTAACATGTGTCCTTCAGCGGTGGGTTTTATTTTTTTCTTCCCCTTTGAATCTTCTTTTCCTTGCCGTGTATGCCTTTGTCAGTGAGACACTTTATTTCTCTGTGGTATTTCCACGTCTCGTCAATTCCAACAGCAATTGCTCTGTCCACATTACAGGAGCAGGCCACGCTCTCATGGCCTGCAGAGGATGCCATGCAGATAGATAGTACCTGCCATTTCCTTCCAAGTGCAGAGAGCCAGGCTCCACTGCTCTTCCATTACAGGCTGGCTTTTCAGTTCACAGGTCACATGCATGGATATCTCTGTTTATCCTGGTTACTCACAGAGAGCGCCAGGTTGGCCTACAATGGGGCTTTAAAAAAAAATTTTTATTTTTAGAAACAGGGTCTTGCTCTGTCGCCCAGGCTGGTGTGTAGTCGTAGATCAGAGATCACTGCAGCCTCAAACTCCTAGGCTTGGCTGGGCACGGAGGCTCGCCTGGAATCCCAGCACTTTGGGAGGCTGAGGCGGGTGCATCAACTGAGATCAGGAGTTCGAGACTAGCCTGGCCAACATGGTGAAAGCCCGTCTCTATTAAAAATACAAAATTAGTGCTCACTTCGGCAGCACATATACTAAAATTAGAACGATACAGAGAAGATTAGCATGGCCCCAGCACAAGGATAACACGCAAATTCGTGAAGCGTTCCATATTTTTTTTATGAGTATAAAAAAGGAAATTAAGAAAAAAAAATACAAAATTAGCTGGGTGTAGTGGCAGGTGCCTGTAATCTCAACTACTCGGGAGGCTGAGGCAGGAGAATTGCTTGAACCCCGGAGGCGGAGGTTGCAGTGAGCCGAGATCACCCCATTATACTCCAGCCTGGGCAACAAAAGCGAAACTCCATCTCCAAACCAAACCAAACCAAAACAAAAAGTCCTAGTCTCAAGCAATCCCTCCGCTTCAGCCTCCTTAGCAGCTGGGACTATAGGTGTGTGTCACCATGCCCAGCTATTTTTTACTTTTATTTTCTGTAGAATTGGGGTCTCACTACATTGCCCAGGCTGGTCTTGTTCAAACAATCCTTCTGCCTCAGCCTCCCAATGTGCTGGGATAACAGGCATGAGCCGCTGTGCCAGGCCTCAGCTTCTCATTAGGCAGGAATGGTCTGTGCTCCTACAGACACTGACTGGAGGACCCTCTTGGGTGTGAGCTAAAGGAAGGAAATTAATTGGTCAAGTAATAGTGCAGGCTTAGTGGCCTGAGGGATGCAAGTAAAGGCATAAGGCTATCTGCCAGCCGGGGCCCAGCTGTCTCCACACAGGTTGGATGCTGGCCCTACCATGCTTAGCTGGAGATACACACAACTCCAGACTTCACTGTAAAGAGGGGAAGAGCCCCAGGGGCAGGTCTTGGGAAAGCCCCAGCTAACAGCTGCCAAGGGGGAGGCTGTCACTTCAGTGAGCAGGGGCAAGGGCAGTGTGGTTTTACAGGGTGTCTGTTCTAAATGGGCTGGAGTGACACTATACACAGGTCTCACCTGCGACCTGCTTCTGGTGTTTTAGCACAGCTGCACAGATGACAACGTCCCAAAAACACACGCACACGATTTCCTTTTTTTTTTTTTT